TAGAAGTTAAGTTATAGTCCTTTGTTTTGGGCATGTCATTTTCGAGCCTGAAACCTGAAAAACAGGCTTGGGGCTTAAGAGGTTAAAGAATCCTGAGCTGCCCTGCCTCTGATGACTCTGGTCTTGGGTCCATGTGGTTCTGGTTCTGTGGTGCATGGAGAGAACACTGTAACACCAATGATGCACATGGCAATGTGTGAAACATGTGGAAGAAAGTCTGAATTACATTTTCAGGTGTGTTTGAAGCAAAGCTAATTATGATATACTTCTTTAGGTCAGATGTTTATAGAGATTTGTTTTAATACAATGAATATTTGTTTTATACTCTATACTGCTGAAGGTGTTCCCAAATCCAAAAGAAGGTGTAGAATAACATGTATTTTGATATGAAAACTTGTGAAAGGCCAAAACATTTGCTGTGGTTTCAGACCTTGAATAAAAAAATGAAGAACATTAGCTAATAATAATGTATTAAGCCCGATTGTAAACCCAACGAGAACTTAGTGAAATGAGTCTGGAAACTGAGGAGCACATTGTCTTAATCTTTGAAAACAGTTAACCACAGTCTAGTGATGTGCTCTTGTTCATTTCAGATTGTCTTTACTCACCAATCAAGCGCAGAGTCTTTGTGTTCTTCTTGTCTATAAGAGGAAGCAAGATGTTAGTCTTACATCTTTTTATTTCTGTAATGATGTGTTGAACAGCAGATACAACTCCCTGTATTTAGCGTTAACTGTCAATAATGTACACAAGCTATTTAATATGTAATACTGCACACTTGAGCCAAATTTGTTAATCAATAATACAACTATTTATCATGTTTAAGTAACAGTTTTACATTAAGCGTTTATCTGTCAAGAAAACCTAAATTAATTGCAAATAAAAAATGTATCCTTATCTAGTTTATTGCTGGCTAGCAGCTGCAACAGTATCCTTTAATGTGTAAATTAATATAAGTTATCACGCCAGTCTATGAACAAACTGAAACGGTGTGTTATACTTTTAAAAAGTGTTCATACAGACGTCTCTTTCCCCATGTTAGTTTGGACACGACGAATATAGTCTAACGTTAACATTTCTCTTAAAATGTTGTTAAACACATTATTTCAGGCGTCAAACCAAATACACATTTGACTTGAAGACAAAGGAACAGGAAGTGCAGAAATGCTTGTTGTTCCTGTGGTCGCTCGCTGCCATGGACGCGAGAAGGGGGGGTGCTGAGGGGGCTGCAGCACCCCCATCTGTTGGCGGACAGTTGTAACTGCAACGCCAAAAAGTTCACTAAACAAATCAATACAAAAGTTTTATTTTGAGTTACTATTTTTGAGTTAGCATTTTAGTGTAAGCAGTCTATAAAAAGCTTCACTATATAAGAGAAAGTGATAATGCGGTGTGCTTCTTCTGTTGCTCTGCTATAGAAAAGAAGCTCGTCAGTGCAGACAAGATCAGGGATGGGAGTTTTGTGAAAGCAGGGTTTAACAACTGGCGAAAGGCAGAGGAAACATTTAGGGAGCATGAGAAGTCCCATCACAGGGTATATGCAGGAATCCTGAAGTCAAATGTAAGACCCTTTAAGACCCTTTCTATACATTTAAAGACCTCATCGCCACTTTGAGTTCTAACCGGTTGCCTTGGCGACACACTTCACCTCACATTGACTATATACAGTATTGATTGTCCTTCCTCCTTATCTTCCAACCATTTGGACGCAGACTTGCATTTCCCCATAACGATGTTGATTAACAACCGGCGTAAACGGACCTTCGCGCGATATCAAGCAGTGAGCGTGCGATGTCCTGTTCAGATGCAGGGCTGTATTCCAGGATTTCCTAAATACAGAGGTCCAAACATGCTCGGGGGGTTCGGGTGCCTACCCCCCCGTAATTTGGGGGATTTTCATGATCTAGTTAGGTGCTTTTTATGTCCTGGGTCACAAATTGCATAATATATTGATTTCAAACCAAGTCAGTGGGCTGCAGCATACATTATTTTTGAAAGTGTAATGCATACGAATCAGTTGATTGTTACTATTAATGATAGCTAGATGATGATTAGCTTCGTCTGACGAAGTCTTTTCATTATATCTGAGTCAGTGTAAAAAGAAAACAATACAATGTTATATCTTCAATGTGTTACTCAAATTGAAATGAAAGAAAAGCATTACAACGTTTGTTAAAAGGTAATCCTTCTGACATTGGATGAATGTAATTAACTTTAGCTCTCTAGCTAGTTTATTCACGCAATTTAAGGCAAAGTATAGCCTATAGCCAGTGGTGTAGTGGGCGTTGGACGCATGATTGAAGCATGATTTTTAACAGTCTAATAAATATAAAATTATTGCCAGTGTTATCAGTTGCAAATGTGTGTTTGTTTTAATAATGACGAAAACATAATAGGCAGATTTCACAGTAAATATAATAAAAACGTAGCTCAAGCATTTATGCAACTTGATTTGAAGCGTGTGTGTGTGAGGGGCAGCACCGTGTGTGTGTGTGTAGGGCAGGGGTCTCCAACACGTCGATCGCAAGCTACCGGTAGCTTTTCAGTAGCTCGCCGCTCGATTATCGATTATAGCGTAGTAACGTTGCTTCTTGATTTTTCGGCCGCTGCCGGACAATAAAGTGTTTTTATTTTAGAATTGTTTCTGTCACACAAATATAAAATTGGTCCGTGACGCAGAGATCAAGGAGCAGATGTGACAGCGGCACAGCGACACCACAAATGGAGCAGTCTGCTTTATCCAGCAGCACCAGTCCAGAACCAACAGCAGAATGACCCGCTCTGAATCAGTCCGCGTCGCTGCGGCACAGAGACACACAGGGAGGGATTTGTGTTTTTGAAAAACACTCGTTATCGTCTTGTCAGGTTTTTGGTGGATTCAATCAAGTCTTGGATTAGAGAGTATGCAGTGGAAAACACTTTTCATTGTTAGGGGGGTCAGAGGTCAGTGTTAGGGGGGCACTGGCCCCCCCTAGAACCGCCCCTGTCTGTAAATCAGCTAATCATTTTTTCGAAACTAAATAAACTACCCAGTATGAACTATTTTATAGCCCTTATTATAATAATTCGGTCCTTAAAGTTGTAAAATGCACTAAAAGCCAAATCTAGATTTATTTTCTCTCTCCATTCATTCTAGTGTGCCGAGAGTGGGAGCTCGGGGGGCGGGGCTTAAGGGGCGCATGCTCTGTGAGCGCACATACAGGTTCTTCTGCTCTGACAGCCAGGCATGCTGGGTAACCTGTGACGTTTCGCTCTCTCAAAAGTTGGGCCATTTTGTCCTCATGCGCCAATGAGCAGCTCTCATAGGAAATAACGAGACCCCGCCTCCCACGCTGTATCCAGTTCTCTGATCACCCAGTGCCCAAACATGCCTTCAAAATGAAAGCATAAAAACGACTTTAACTCACTTCCATAACGACACTAAATAATAATACCTTCACTATACACAAAAACAGCAAGAAAATAAATGTTTAACTTTTAAATAATATAAAGCTCCAAGAGTGTCTTTAAACAGGCTGATCACGGAGATGATGTTAAATCATGTGACTGTGAAGGAGTTCCTTTATAGAGAGGCGAAGTCCCTCCCCTTCCGGTTGAGCTCCATGGGACCTTATTTCGCAAAAGTTATGCATTGAAGTCAATGGAGAGAGAAAGATTATCTTTCGATCCCGTTTGAATAATTTTACAAGTAAAAAAAATTAAAATGTGTCGTAAAACTGTGAAGTAACACTCTGTGTGAAACCGCTCAATGAACTACATCTCCCGTCTCGCACCACACACCAAGACGGCCGTCACGTTGGAACATTTCACTTCTTTCTTTCAGAACGAGGCGGAAAGTATTAAAAGGGTTGAAAATCACTCCAAGTCTGGGCACGTTGAGAGCTGTACATACACACAAGGGGAGTTAGTCGGTTCGTAAGAGCCAGCATGTGGGACCGGGACTCTGGGATTTGTAGTCTTTCTAGTTGCGTATTTTTCATAGTCTTTTATTTCAACAGTTTTACGACAAACTGTGACTTTTTTGACATGAAAATGATTTGTTAAGATTGACAAACATCATATGTGTAATTCGTGGCACAATTCAAACGGGATCGAAAGATAATCTTTCTCTCTCCATTGACTTCAATACATACTTTTTGAGAAATAAGGTCCCATGGGTCCCACCGGAAGGGGAGGGACTTCGCCTCTGTATAGCCTGATGCTAGCTTTTCACTTGTGTGAAAGAACAGGTATTGGATGTACACAACTCCAAAAGAATGTATAAATACCATAGGGTAATCGCTTTTTGACGTTTGAATAAGGAAATGTTACAAATGATATATTTTAAATAAATAAACCCACCACTGGGAAAGCTGAGGAATATAAATATCTCTGTTACATCACATTGAACTTTTGTCTAACTTATTAGTCGTGTTTTAAGAGATCTCTGTTTAAAGTGATTGTTGGTTATATAACTAGAGTATTTTCCCTGTTTATCTTCCAGGTCCATGAGGGGATATTGTTAACCATCAGGCAGTGCATTCAGCCCCGTAATCCTGCCTTTGTTCGTTTCCTGCCATTTCTGTCCCTCAAGTCTTTGGAAACAGTCAGAAGAACGGCTACGGAGAAGAGGAAGAACAGTTTTAAATGATGACATGTTTGCGTTAATCACCCCGACTGCATTAATCATGATTGACTGAAATTGTGATTTTAAATCTCAAAACCGCTACAGTATCTGTCAGGCAGAAACTTGGGACAAGTAATTTGACTGAAACCTTAAAACTGAACTAACTGACTGCTAGGGTTAACTTTGATTTAAACATTTGTAGAATACTAAGAGCTTTATTGAGTAGGTGTAACTGTATTAAGGGTTAAACTCATAACTTTATAACTCAGGGTTTAATGTAATTGTAAAACCATTGGGCCACTGAAAAGACACAATAACAACTCAGGAGGGAGCCAGTCTCGATTTCTTTTTGAGGGCCACCAGCTGCAGAGAGTTAACTAATTAAAGGGACGTGGCCCCACAGCTGTGAGAACTCAGCAATCAGGTGTCCATTTTAGGTAGCACTTTCCTGGAGCGTCAGACAGACGAAGACAATAGAGTCCTGCTGGAGTCAAAGACTGACAAAGACAATAGAGTCCTGCTGGAGTCACGAGGGAGGCAGAGAGGAGGCAATCCTACTTTGGTTGAGCTAAGTATCGCTGGTGTTTTGTTTTATTTGGTTGGTTAGCCCCTCATGCTATAATCATGTGTATTTTCTCCATTCCTGTTTATGTGTCTTCTCGCAATTATCACTGGCCCCGTGTATCTCGTAATCGATATAACCGGCCTGCTCTCGTCTATCCCACATGCTCCACTGAGATCCAACATCTAGTTTCAGGCGGCCTGTGGAACTGCCAGTCAGCTGTTCCTAAGGCTGACTTCATCTCTGGCTACGCCTCCCTGCAGTCTCTGGATTTCCTTGCTCTCACTGAGACCTGGATTACTCCATCCAACACATCCACCCCAGCAGCTCTCTCCACAGCATATTCCTTCTCCCATACACCCAGACCCACTGGCAGAGGAGGTGGCACTGCCCCTGCGAGATGGAGTTCATGACTTTATGAGCTGTTCATGAGCACTCATGAAACATTCATGAACAACTCATTATATGTTCACTTGTCATGTTCATGAACCAAAATTCTTAAAATGCTCATGAACCATTTTAAAGAGCAGTTCATGAAATGTTGATGAACATTGTTCATACATATAAAGTTCCTGTTTTGCTCATGACAGACTTTTATGAGCAATTTATGAACTTTTCATGATCCAGCCAATCACAAAATTATAATTAAAACCCCAAAAAGTTTGCATGAGCATTTCATGAACTTTTCATGAATTTTGGATGATTGTGGCAAGTTCAGAATATTTTTGAATATTCATGAGAATTGTATGAACTTTTGATGATCAGTGTGATGATTTTAAAGACCTCTTGAATATTCATCTACTATTTGAACATTTCTTTATTTTTTTAAACTTTTAATCTTAAAACAAAACAATAGTGCATTTGAAACTGAACATTATCTGTATTTATGTTGGTGACATTCATATCATTTTATGGTTTATCTGTACTGTTTGAGAAGCAGTACGAGTAAGTAGCG